CTGACAAAGCCAAGTTAAACTAATGACCGATTCAGAAGTATTAGTGATTTCCTTCCACAAAATAAAAAATGGCAAAACCTGCAACTTAAGAAGTTCATTTCAGAAATACTGCCATTTAGCGTGAGAGTGCCCTGTTCCCGAACACAAATATCTCTGTAGGAGCAAAGAGACAGCAACATTTGGCCTATTCAATCCCTCATCTTGTCTTTAATACCAGCCAATGTCAAACATTTCAGAGAATAGTAAAGAAGCTATACAGTAGACAGCAAAAAAGAAGCACTTTGGAGATAGGTGTAAATAGTTCAGTAATGTTTCCTCTTTGAAGCTATGGAATGAAGACCAGAATTAAACATGCAAAGAAACCGTAAGGGCCAATTTTACATCATTCTTTTGGATGAAATCTGTGTCAGGGAGGTTGAATCAGGATTTGCAGAAGAGCCTCAAATTGCTCAAACGTTTCTCCCTGCCATCTCTGGCTCCCTGCTTTGCACCCCTGCGGCAGACAAGTAACGCTGGCGCCAGCGGCTCTCCTCTCTCCCCAGCCCCACTTCAAGCAAGCTGGGGATGCGGTGGGAAAACAGGATGCGATTGCACATTTAGATACTCCACTGTTGTGATGTACGGCAACTGGAAAGCCAAATTAATGGCACATGGGCAAACTTAATTTGGCATTTCCAAACTACTGGATACGTCACTTGGCAGTTTAAAACATTTTTTCAGCATTTATATTAAGTTCCTGTAACTTCTAAAAGATTGAAAACTGGGGGATCTGCAAGCTCCCTTATCGAAACCTCATATTTAAAGCTGAGGATCCGTACTGACTGCACATGAGCCCTTGCAGAGCAGCACTAGGAACGTCGGGAGACAGCAGAGCTATGGGACACGGCTGCAGGCCTGCGACCAGTGAGGCAAGGAAACCTACCCAGTGGGTTTGCTGCACATCAAAGCAATATTCAGAGTCAGAAATAAACTTAGTTCAGTTCTGGGATCTGCAGGGGAATGTCTTTTTGGGAACAGACCCCCCCACCTCTGATGGTGCAGCATGGACCCCTCGGGTACCTCTCACTCCTTTTGCTCAAGAAGTTGTCCCTTTTATTTCATCTCATGTCATTTGCTTAATTGCCATCGAAGGTCAAAGCACCCTTTGGTACAATCAGCACAATTGAGAGCAACAAAATGTAGCTTGAAATTAATAGTCAGAGGAATTGCAGCCAAAACAGCTATCAGAAAATTAAAATCATGAATATGGAAATGGAAACATCAACCTCTGAGCCATTATTTGGCCCCAATGCCAGCTAAAGATGCTATAGTTAGGAACACACCAACTGGAAATTTGGAAGCTGCCTTTAATCCCTGCTCACAGGGGCTGCCCCAGCTGCCTGTCGCCAGCTCTGCCTGGGTGCACAGCGCATGCAACACAGTCACGGGCTGGGAGAGGAGGACTCCCAGCGAGCTGCAGCACAGATCGCAGACTTTCAAACGTACGCAGCACATAGAGCAAAGCCGCACGGGTCGGATGCACAGGAAGACAGAAGCAGGAGTATCAAACCTCTTCCCTGTATGTCCTTTCCTAATTTCTCCTGCAGCCTACACCAGTGATGGCATCCACCAAAAGGGAGCTTGCATTGGGGCGGCCGAACTTCATACCTTCGCCTCCCTGCATTTAAATGACGCCAGGGTGAAGTTAAAAGGCTTCCCTAGCACTTTTCAGTGTAGGACAGACACAGTCCTCGTGCCTCTTTCACCACCTACCAATCTCCAGCATCCCCATGTGTACCACCAGCAATACTGAAGGTACTAGCTCCTTAAAGGAACCCATTTAATGTTCCAGCCTGGCCTGCTTTACACCAGAAATACTGCAGCACACAAGGGATTTTCAAGCAACGTAACCTGTGAGGTGGTACTACGTGACTCCTGGAGCACTGTTTCACACTTCTACAGCTGCCAAGAGGTGGGACGCATCAGTTATGGGCAGAACCTGAGAACCAGCGGAGGCATCACATCTGCTCCTTCTACAGAAGTCAAGGGATAAGAGTCTGGAAAACAAACGTAGAGTTACCCGGAACTGCTGGGAATTGACACAATTCTACATTTTAGAAAAACACTGGGTTTTTCACGCAATTTTCAAGCACAAAATGTTTATTTTTCTTCTTTTTAACCTATACAATTTCTCGGGGGTTTTAGTGCCACTGACGTTGTCAGTATACAAGGGATGGACTATACAACAGGCAATAGCAACATAAACTGTAAGATTCAGTGCAAGCCAAAGGAAAACTGGTGTGAGAACATATTTTCCATGTTTGCTCATGAAGCATACAGACATGAATCTAAAAACCCCAAACAAATTAAAGATACATGTTACAGAGAACAGAAATCTCTTACTACAGTAAGTATTTTGCCCAGGCAGAAGACTCTGCATAATTGTCTATAAAATTCAATTCTAACTGAATTGATGGAATAATATATTCAAAGGGTACAAACAGAATAATTTAGACAGATATAATGCTCAAAGTACAATAGAACTATACAATTCATAGCATGGCAGCACATCTCTGCCCTTCAGCAGACAGTATAAAATGTCATTACAGTAGAGATACAGAGCAACGTGCCTTCAGATGTGACTGCACAGTTCGTGACCTGTGCCTGTAATGCTCTCCCTTAGAGCTTCAGAGGGAAAGGAGACTTACCATCAGCAAATCAGTTTTTAGTGGTTATCTTGTGCCTTTAGACTGCGAGGTGCAGGTGGAGACTCTATGCACAGTAAAACAGGCAAAAAACAACTTTCAAACAGGAGAGAGGTGTCCATGCCACCTACAGCGCAAAATTAATTAAAACTAAAAGAAAATAAAGAAATAAAGAAAATTTTCAAACAAAAGGTGGTGACACTCCAAAACTGAAGTATTAGATACAAAAAAGAATAGCTTCATGTTTTTATTCCGTTTCAGCGTGAATACTGCTAGCATGTCAGTGGCAAAACACCATTCCTAACCTTGGTGGACGAACCAAACCCAGAATACACCAAGTGCTGTGCTTACACGGTTCTTACAGCAACCTGGAGACATGTTCTCCAACAATCCAGAGTTCAGTTAGATTTCTTCACTTGTGAAACACGCATGAATTTGTAATTTAACTAAACTATAAAAGCCCAGTAGGGGAAAGAAAATGTAATCCAATTTGCTGATGATCCAGGGGAAAACAGTATTTGCCTGCCTGTTAGAGAAATAAGTTGCCATCCGCAACAACTTTACCAAAGACCGGGGAAGAGAATGAATTGCACTGCCCAAAGCTATTACCTGTCCTTATATGGAACTTACTTCGATCACTCCATAAATGCTCCTATTTTAAAATGTGAATTTCACTACTCCTTGGACAAACACAAACAATTTTTTGATCGGCATCTCAAACAAACCTCACCTCACAATTACACTTTTTTTTTTAAAAAGCTTCAGAAATGAAAATTCAACCCCTGAATTAAAACAAAAGCATTTATAGCAGAATGAAACTGATAAAGAATGTCAAATGTAAACCTTCGATATCTTTGCAAATAAAAAGAACTTCAACTCACAAGCAGATTGTAAATAAAATACACCTTTCAAATAATTTTACATCTCTTTTGAGCTGGAACTAAAAAGCTGAAATTCAAGGCACTGTACTCCTGCAAGGGTTAGTACAATTTTCTAGTCATCAATTCAAGTACATCGACTTTAAGGATCGCAAGTGTAAAATATCAGAACACAACAGAATAGTGTCTTCAGCAATGGAATATGAGCAGATATTGCCATAACAGACAGACTACCTTGTGTGAAACCATTTCACAGTGATTGCTGGATGCAGTGTATGGCTGTATGCGCTAGCAGGCCTGACCAGGATCCCCGCCTTGTCCAATACGTATGGCATCCACACATCAATGCTCCACGTGACAATGCTGACATCATCGTTACCTACAGGAAGGCCACCGAGCTACGTCATCCGCAGGCGCGGGCCTGGCGGCTCGGCAGCGGGTCGCTTCAGTGGCACCGGGTACATCTGCAAGCAGGCTTTGCCGAAAGGCGAGAATGGTGCAATGCTCGGCCCTCTGACAACCCCGGGTGGCATGGCCAGCCCTGGCCACGGCACTCCGTAAATGGGTGGAGGGAAAACTCCTCCGTACTGACAGAGAGGCATCACGTAGGGTGTCACTGTGCCAGGGAGGGCAGGCCCTGGCATAGGCACTGGCAGGGACGGAGAGGCTCCAGGAGCTAACGCAGTGGGCATGGGGCAAGACGCTGGAACAACGCAATTTTTCCCCAATCCCATTCTTAACGAATTAACCTACAAAAAGAAAAATACAAAAAGCATTGCTATTAAGCTCCTCTTGCCCCGCCTGCCGCAGGCAGTGCTGGCAGGCAGAGAGACGCGTGTCCATGCTGGGATCACAGCGACGCTACTCCCTGCAGCGGCATGGCCCCCGCCAGCACCCTCATCCATGGCTGGGTACCTGCAAGGGGCTGCCAGCCGGCGGGGGCACAGGGGTGGCACCACGTCCTTGGATCTTGGTGGTGGGTTTTCCTTTTGGTTTTTGTTTATTTGTTGTTGGGTTTTTTTTTTCTTTTTTCCTCTATTTTGTTTTTAGGACAAAAAAAATGGAAATCAATAGCAAAGTTTGATACAGGGTGGAGAGGAAAGTTGTCTGAATATAGTGTTGTTATAAGGAGGCAGGAAGCATCACCAAACAAGTGAGAACGGAATGCCACCAAAAGCCATGAAAAACCTCCAATAGCCAAAGGACCTCAAGTATCTTTTATGCTCAGTCTTGTGCATAAAAGTAAATAAATTAAACTAAATGCAGAATTAACCCAAATCTCATACTCTTACAGCCATACTCAGAACAGGTTTTAAAAATTCTAGCACATATTTCTCTAAAAAGTTGTTTCATCCAGCCTCACAGAACTAAGACTAGTGATGAACGGGAAGAGATTTGCCATGGTGGTGAAATACCCAGCACTGGTGGTGGCTGAGACCAGGTGAGGCAACCCGGTAAGGGCACAGCAGGAGGCCTCAGGGGCTGCTGGGAACAATTCCAGCTATTTTCCTAAAATGCTATTAATATCCACTTCAATTATTCAGTTTTCGGATGTGAGGGGCAGAGAAAGAGCTCTCCTTCTTAAACAGGGGGATGGCCCAGCTTCCCAAATTATACCCTCCATTGTGTGCAAGAACAGTTGTTACCCAAAATGCTGCCCACTCTCTCTGCAGACAGTGTTTGCAGGATTTCATTATGGTTTTAATTTCACAGAATTTACTACTCCCTGCTCTGGTTCCCACCAAGCCAGCACCTATTCATGCCATAAGACAAAAAAAGGGTATTATTTAGGTCCAGGAATCTCCCATTAATTTGGTATTTCACATGAAACTGATAAAACTGGTATGAAGGTGAAATTTCAGTGGAAAACATGAATAGATGCATAAGACTGTAGGGAATGCTTACTCTATGTTTCTGATTTTATTATCGCTTCTCAAAAATAAAAACGGCAACGTCACTCTGGGATTTACTGCTTTGGGGAGTTAACCCATGCTCCAAAACAGATTTTAGAAAAATACAGAAGTATCTGATATCCTTCTTCACTTCACTGTCTTCAGTTCTAATCTGAAACCTGAATCTGATGGTAAGCATTGAACTAAGAGAAATAGCTGCTTCGATATAATGAATTTCACACTATTTATGTATAAAAGTCCAACAAAATTAACCGCAGAAACCAAAGAATAAAGAGGGGAACTGAGGACATATTTTTAAGACCTAAAGACTTCTTTAACCTATTACTAGACCCTTGTTTTAACATCTCCAAAATGATGGTTTCCACCAAACTAGACAACTGTGAGTGGATGACAACGGATGCCGTAAAGATACCCAACAGAAATATAACACTTCTTATACAAGCAATAGATTATACAGCAGCATTGACAATGTAAGGTGACATTTTAGCAAGTGGTCCTATTTAAAAATTCTATCTTGAAAATGCTTATTTTCATTTCTTTTAAAATACTGAAGAAATCCACCTCTACCCAATTCAAGCTTCTTGACTATTCTGTTCTCAGTAAAGCAGCAGCTGTATTTAAGGCTACGTATGTGCAACAAGGAATAAAACTGCATCATGCTCCAAAACCAACCGCTACACATACCTATTAAAAACTGTTAATGTCACAACAAATGCATGTTAATGATTTAAGGTTGCTTCCTCTACCTTTGTCGCATGCTTCAAGGGAGCAAAACACACACTTTAAGAGGCAACAAGACATCTAGCTCTTGCGTCTTCCCCTGGATAGAGGTCTCTTAGCCAAAGCCATATTTTAACCATCTTTTAACCAGCTCTGATGACTCAACACTGATGGAGGCCTAAACAACTGATTACTTCCTGCATGTAGATATCAACTGAAACATCAAAATCAATGAGAAGACTCCTCAAAACAGCACAAGAAGCTATGGATTTCCCAGCTCTAGGAAACTTTGGTCATAAAATTCAAAAGGAAGCAGATGGATATGCAAACAGTCATGGACAAGGTGTGTACCTACACTGGGGTCAAAGTCACAGCTGTAAACAGAACTAGCTTGGCATTTCAATCAATCAGGCTGGTATTTTAACAGAGGTACACCGAAGGAAGCCCCTGAGATGACAATACCCTCGTCAATGGTAAGGGAGTTTCACCCCCAAGTGCAAGCTCTTCAGCTGCCAGGGGGGTTGAAGCTTGCAAGTGGAGCTGTGAAACTGCAAGTTCTCCTGTCACTCACAAGATGGCCAATTCTGTGATGAAAGGACACATTTGTCATCCGCAGCTCCCTGCTTGCCCAGGTGACCTCTTCGCTATTACCTTGGCATTTTTGCAAGTTTGTTTGAAAGGTGCCGGTTCTGGCACAAGCTGTTATTCCAGAATGTGCGTCAACTACAGCACGTTATATCCTAGCAGTGACAAGGCTTCAGCTCCCAGTGCATCTTCTGGGCTTTGGTACTCTACTCAAAGCTTGAAGACAGGGGCGTGAATTGTTTATTTTACACTGAAGTTATCTTGGGAACTGAAAACAAATGGCAGAATACCAGACTCCTGCATCCACCTCAAGAAACCAATGTTTCGAGATCACTGAAAAACAAAAATCTTTATAGCCATAGCTTGCAGTCATATAGGACAAGTGTTGGGGCTTATTTAAAATACTCTAATCCTCCTGCAGAAGAGTAAAGCAGAAGTGGTCTTTTCCCTTCCTAATTCAGCTTTAGACGATGCAACACCCGTAATGAGGAATGACATTGATTATAAGACTTAGACAACTATGGATGGCATTACTTCATTTTTGATACTACAGTATTAATTTACTTCTGTTTGTTCTGCTGCCTGCCTAGAGCCTAGTCAAGTCATCTGCCCTGGCCTCAAGCAGGCTGATAAGGTAGACGCAGTCTCAAACTTAATGAATTTACCTTCATTTACATCTGTCATCACCATGTAAAAAAAGTCTGTCTGCTAGAGATAATTAATAGGAACTTTTTAATATATTTTTTTGGAAGGGAGACTGGGTTGAGATCCTAAAATGTATCCTATATT